ATACATAACTTCTTATCAGCAATATCCAGAAGTCTTTCATTTCTATATGTCTCCCAAACCCAAGGTACCAATGAAACTTGATCCTCCTCATATTTGTGCTCTATTGATTTTCTTCCACATGCAATTTCCAGTGCAACTACACCGAAGCTGAAAATATCTGATTCCTTGCTGGCCTTCTTTGTTTTGAGACATTCAGGTGCCATGTATTCCTGAGTTCCAGCCAAACCGGTAGCATGTGACCCTTTTGCATGGTCAACAAATGTAGCTAACCCGAAATCCCCAAGCTTTGAATTGAAATTTGAATCTAACATAATGTTGCTTGATTTGATGTCCCTATGCAGTACACATTGTTCCCATCCTTCGTGCAAATATAGTAATCCTGAAGCCAAATCTTGAGCAATTTTGTACCTTATTTCCCATGTCAATAAGCTTTTTCCTTTGAAAAGATGGCAATCCAAGCTGCTATTACGCATAAATTCATAAACAAGTAGAAGATTCTTTTTCTCATGGCACCAACCCAGAAGTTGCACCAGATTCCTGTGCCTCAATCGACTAATGATTTTCACTTCTGATGCATACTCCTTTATCCCTTGTTTAGACTCTTTGGAGACCTTCTTAACTGCAATATAAGAGTTGGTGTCCTTCATAAATCCTCTATAAACCCCACCAAAACCTCCCTGTCCTAACTTGTTTTCGTCATTAAAATTATCTGTAGCGCTTGCTAATTCCTCATACGAAAACTTCTTGGGTCCAGTTCCTCTTTCAAATTCATTATCCATAGTTTCTTCTTCATCTTTCCCATCTCTCTTCCTACCAAAGCAAGCCAGCCGAACCAAAACCAACCCGGCAACCAACACACCACCAACAATACCCAATCCCACAGCCAGCCCGGTTTTGCTTTTCCTACCGTCAACAAGATTTGGGCTTACTGGCGGATTAGTTGAATTACCATCTTCCAAGCTTGAACTGAACTCCCACGAGTTAACTGTATGTGTTGCAGTTGCATTTCCAGTTGCCCCTGAGAAACCAAAAGTTACAAACTCAGGTAAATAAAGCCTCAAATCGACTTTAAAATCAAGGTGCTGCTTCACAATGGTACCATTTCTAAAACCAGTGAACTCAACACTTAAATTCTTTGTGCTAGAATTGTAATTGATCCATGCCTCATTTCTTCTTCCACCCATGACATCACTCCACCATGCCACAGTTTTCACAGACTGCAAAGAGTTGATGTCGATACCCACATGTTCACGGCTGCTGGTTGGATCATGGTAGTTACGATAAATATCAAATTCCACAGCAAAAAATGGATTGGAGGTTGAAAATAATCGCTCATCGTCGTTTGCAAGACCCAAAGACCCTCCTCTCGTGGCGTTCACAGGAATCATTGAACCTTGAGGCGCCAGAAAGAAGGTCAACCCATCTCCGTAAGCACTTCTGTTTTGAGAATCAATAATGAAAGAGAAATGAGTCGTGAAGTCTGTGAGCTTTTCCGTGGCATTGTCCCAAAGGCGCAGAGGTTTATAGTATGTGGCCCGACCAAACATGGCTTTTCCTGAGGCTAGTAGAATAACTTGGTTTTGTGGGTAAGCTCTCTGGTATGTCATGTTTTCCCGATTAGAACTGAACCTAGAAAAGTTGAACGATAAAGCACTCGCCGCCGGAATTTTTAAAAATAACAAGATGATGATCACAAAGAATTGAATAACAAGAATCCTCTTCGCATTGGAGTTGGAGATGGCCATTTTTGAGAGGTAGGATAAGATGGCTTCTGAAATTTCACTCTCAGAGATCTAAATATTTAGAAGGTACAAGTTTTCACGTGCTTAAACCCCACCCAACTCAGACTAGAGTGGGAGGGATTTATTTTAAATTCGCAAGTAGGAAAAACATAATAAAAACAAGTTGAGCAGCCTTTGTTGAACGTAGTCAATTAACTATAATATTTTTTATGAAAAAGCCTAAAGGATAAGAATTGTCAAAAAGTTAGGATTGCTAAGACAACTTGTATACATTATATAAGTTTTTTAAGATTATTTAACGAATTTTAGGAATCAATTATCCCAATTTTGAACAGAGATGTATGATAATATAAAAAATCAAGTAAAATTGTGCAAATACTATAGGAAACAAGATATCGAATGATTTGTGATGTGGAAGGCTGATGGGATGAGCCTGATATATGAAATTGATCAGGGTTTGATTTGTGTAATTGACTGACGGGCTTGATAGGTGAGATTTTATTAACTAATAAGTGGCAGCAGCAAGCCTAATTAAATTATGAGATTTGATGAGTTACAATTAGCCAAAAGGAAAGGAAATTAGAAGGAAGAAACCTAAAAGCAACTACTTTGTATTGGTGGTGTTGGCATTCGCCGTCTAGAAGGCAAAAGTCATTTCTCATTTGATTATAATAGTAAAATATGGTTGGGCTGACTTGCCAATGCGTTTTTTAATTGGCTATTTCAAAATCTTATCAAAACATCTTTAAAATTAACCTCCTGGAATAGATTTTTCATACCTAACATAAAATAAATAGAAGAGTGAATTTAATAAGTTTGATTTTTTATTTCACTCTTCCATTCATTTTTTACCACTTCATTTTGTATGTAAATCTTTGTAAGATTTCTTTATAAATATAATATTATTGTTTTAATTTTTTGATGCCTCCAAATATAAAGCTTTGAAATAAAACTGCAGAGGAAAAAGAATATAAAATCTTTTATTATAATTAAATCCTCACTTAAAATAGAATGAAAAATAATGGAGTCTAAAAATCATTTCTCATTTGATTGTAATAGTAAAATATGGTTGGGCTGACTCGCCAATGGGTTTCTTAATTGGTTATTTCAAAATCTTATCAAAACATCTTCAGAATTAATCTTGTGGAATAGATTTTTCATACTTAACACATACACACACATATATAATTCTTTAGTCAGGGTAATGTTGAATTCACTCATTAGAATGAAATAATATTTTATATATAAAAATCTAAAAGTGAATATTTATGATGCTTGTATAATTATATTACAACATCATAACATCATAACTATATATATATATATATATAACACTCATAAAAAATAGTTTACTTTAGTTTTGAAGAATCTTTAAATTAGTCAGGCACTTTGTCTTCATTATACTTATTTTTTGACGTGAATTTGTTAATTATCTTGTAATTGGGGATTACATATAGAGAGATATGTATTATAAACATACATATTAAGGGATTTTTTTTTTTTTTTGCCTGAGGAAACTTATGAAGGGAGAGAGATACGAATACAACGTAAATTTATGGGCATGATACCATACCTTGATAGAGTAAATTTTTTTTTTTTTTTTTTTTTTATCAATAATATATAAATTTTCCACAAACATTTGTTTTTTAGGATACATAATAACCAAAGATGCTTTTGAGACACTGACTGCATCATATAATAAACTATATAGAATAGAAACAACTATTAGGGTGTGTTTGGTTCATAAAATGTTGTATTATTGGGAATGTTAGATTAATAGAAAGATAGATTATTATGAAGATTAGTAGGAATATTTAGGAAAATGTGTTTGATTAAGTTGTAATAAATTAATTGGTGGGTATGTTATATTAATATGTTTGGTTGGGAGGATAAATTGGTGGATATGTTATATAGATTACTAAATTGCCCTCCTTTTTAAATATTAATATAATATTAATTTTTGAATAATCTCTTTTAACCCCCTACAATTGAAATTTTGCTAAAACACCTAAACCATATAAAAATTTAATTTGTAAAAAAATCACTCCTACCCACCCCAAGCCACTACTGACCGTTGGCCACCACCATCGTTTGCCATCAGTAGTAACCAAAAAGGTGTACAACCGGTCAAGTCTGACCGACTATGTGCCGATCTGGTCATGCATCTAGCTAGAAATGGCCAGATCAATGGTTGTTAACGACCAGATTTGTGGTCGTTGTGCACCATGGATCTGGCCGTAACGACTAGATCTATTCTAGTGTCGTGCATAAGAATTATGAGTGTTAACGGCCATACTATTCCAGTCGAAATAGATCTGGTTGTTAATGGCCATGGATCTAGCCATTTTCTGCCATATACAACCATTTGGCCATTTTCGGTCGTCGATATGACCGAAAATGACTAGATTGGCATATGGTCGGCTAGATCCGTTGGTCGTGCACCGTTTCAGTGACTATCTACGGTGGTTGGCTAGCGGCCAATGGTGGTGGTTGGCGAGTTGTAGCGGTCCTGAGTGACCAGCAATTTGTTTTAAATCTAAGGGCATTATTATCCAAAAAACTTAATTAATTTGGGGTAAGATTGTAATGATAGGTTCATATAAATTAATTTCAAAATAAGGGCATTTTTGTCCAAAAAATTTAATGACACAAATGTTAAAATTAGCTAGAAAGAATATGTTGCTTAAATTGATGTCTCAACAGAGTGCAGACCAGAAGAAATTCACAAATCTTCAATCTATAGCATGATTTTAAGGAGGCCTCCAGTAGCTATTTTACTTTGTACCTCAAAACGTCGTCGTTTTCTATCAAGATTAGTCTAAGGCAAAGTGATGCCGTTGTAGTCTATGTTAGTTTGTTATAAAACAGTTACTGTACACTGAGCTAATTAATCATTGAATCTACTAAAATCCAAATACTCATCTACTCTCTCATTTTTCTCTCAAATTCTTCGTTCAAACCCTAAGTTTCACGCATGAAATACGTTAATTAACTAGAAAAAAAGAAAGTCATAGTCTCGTATTAACAGGATAATTTTTAGATTGCATGAACTCGTGATTCTGCGATTATTTTAAAAAAAAGAATTCCATTAGTAAACAGAACAGATACAGAATTATTGCAAGAATATAAAAATGACAAATCCAAACACAAGAAAGCCATGGAAGAATATTCTGAAAAACCCTTATTAATTAACTGAACAAACTCTAAACATGAATAAAATTTAACATAGGTATGCACGCAGCTGAAGTTCAGTGATGATTAAACACCGCAGGAGGCTTTTATGCATTCGCTGTCCGTTTTATTTGGGACATTGCTTGATTGAAAGAACTGAAGTAATCCGTGATGATCAAATGGCTTGTATTTTAATGGACGTTCATCATCAACTAGCTCTTTAGGAGTCTGTATTACTCCACTTAAGAATGCAAACAGCACAAGTGAATATCTCTCTATGTTTGGATCCACAATGACACGATGATAACAAGATATTATTCTGTCATTGCTCCATGCCTTCATTGAGATTAATCAGAAAGAAAAAAAGAAAATTGTTAGCATTCCAGAGATGAAATAGAAGACATAAATATAGAATTCGAGCTTTTTATTTTTTTTCCATCTTTCAGGTAAAAGCTCATATCAGGAGAGGATTTTGGATTGACTCACCATGCCTACATCACCGGCGATGACCAAATAAGATGAAGGCGAGGGCTGAAAATGCATCCTCTCTCCATCCTTTGTTCTTAACTCCAAACCCTTAACGTCATCTGAATGAAGAATCGACACCAAGGTCTTATCTGTGTGACCACTTAAAGCAGCAGTATTCTTTTCTGTTTTATGACATTTTCTGTAATTCAAGAAACGAAGAAGATAAGTAGTTGATCTCCTTTGAGACTCGTAATGCTTCTCGTCAATGCCATAGCTTTCAAACAACATTCTCATCACCAATTGCTGCAATGCCGCTACCATGTTTGCGAATGTATGAGCGATTTCACTGGCCAATATTTATAATTGAAACGAATAATTAATCAGAACGATCTAATCTTAATTAATAAGAAGAAACATTCAACAAATAATTTGATAATTACCAGAACCGATCATTTCCTTTTGGCCACAAGACGTTTGTGAAATTTTTACAAGCCTCTTTATTTGTTGCAAACTCAATGACCTAACATAAATAAATAGAAGAGTGAATTTAATAAGTTTGATTTTTTATTTCACTCTTCCATTCATTTTTTACCACTTCATTTTGTAGGTAAATCTTGTAAGATTTCTTTTAAATATAATATTATGTTTTTAATTTTTTGATGCCTCCAAATATAAAGCTTTGAATAAACTGCAGAGGAAAAAGAATTAAATCTTTTATTATAATTAAATCCTCACTTAAAATAGAATGAAAAATTGGGTCTAAAAATCATTTCCATTTGATTGTAATAGTAAAATATGGTTGGCTGACTCGCCAATGGGTTTCTTAATTGGTTATTTCAAAATCTTATCAAAACATCTTCAGAATTAATCTTGTGGAATAGATTTTTCATACTTAACACATACACACACATATATAATTCTTTAGTCAGGGTAATGTTGAATCACCTCATTAGAATGAAATATATTTTATATATAAATCTAAAAGTGAATATTTATGATGCTTGTATAATTATATACAACATCATAACATCATAACTATTATATATAATATATACCACTCATAAAAATAGTTACTTTATTTGAAGAATCTTTAAATTAGTCAGGCACTTGTCTTCATTATACTTATTTTTTGCGTGAATTTGTTAATTATCTTGTAATTGGGGATTACATATAGAGAGATATGTATTATAAACATACATATTAAGGGATTTTTTTTTTTTTTTTGCCTGAGGAAACTTATGAAGGGAGAGAGATCGAATACAACGTAAATTTATGGGCATGATACCATACCTTGATAGAGTAAATTTTTTTTTTTTTTTTTTTTTTATCATAATAAATAAATTTTCCACAAACATTTGTTTTTTAGGATACATAATATCAAATTCCACAGCAAAAAATGGATTGGAGGTTGAATTTAATCGCTCATCATCGTTTGCAAGACCAAAAGACCCTCCTCTCGTGGCGTTCACAGGAATCATTGAAACTTGAGGCGCCAGAAAGAAGGTCAACCCATCTCCATAAGCACTTCTGTTTTGAGAATCAATAATGAAAGAGAAATGAGTCTTGAAGTCTGTGAGATTTTCCGTGGCATTGTCCCAAAGGCGCAGAGGTTTATAGTATGTGGCCCGACCAAACATGCCTTCTCCTGAGGCTAGTAGAATAACTTGGTTTTTTGGGTAAGCTCTCTCGTATGTCATGTTTTCCCTATTAGAACTGAAACTAGAAAAGTTGAAAGATAGAGCACTCGCCGCCGGGATTTTAAAAAAAAACAAGGTGATGATCACAAAGAATTGAATAACAAGAATCCTCTTCGTATTGGAGATGGCCATTTTTGAGAGGTAGGATAAGATGGCTTCTGAAATTTCATTCTCAGAGATCTAAATATTTAGAAGGTACAAGTTTTCACGTGCTTAAACCCCACCCAACTCAGACTAGAGTGATAGGGATTTATTTTAAATTCGCAAGTAGGAAAAAAATAATAAAAACAAGTTGAGCAGCCTTTGCTTGACGTAGTCAATTAACTATAATATTTTTTATGAAAAAGCCAAAAGGATAAGAATTGTCAAAAAGTTAGGATTGCTAAGACAACTTGTATTACATTATATAAGTGTTTTAAGATTATTTAACGAATTTTAGGAATCAATTATCCCAATTTTGAACAGAGATGTGCAAATACTATAGGAAAAAAGATATCGAATGATTTGTGATGTGGAAGGCTGATGGGATGAGCCGGATATATGAAATTGATTAGGGTGTGATTTGTGTAATTGACTGACGGGCTTGATAGGTGAGATTTTATTGACTAATTAGTGGCAGCAGCAAGCCTAATTAAATTATAAGATTGGATGAGTATACAATTAGCCAAAAGGAAAGGAAATTAGAAGGAAGAAACCTAAAAGCAACTACTTTGTATTGGTGGTGTTGGCATCCCGCGTCTCGAAGGCAAAAGTCATTTCTCATTTGATTATAATAGTAAAATATGGTTGGACTGACTCGCCAATAGGCTTTTTAATTGGCTATTTCAAAATCTTATCAAAACATCTTAGAATTAATCTTGTAGAATAGATTTTTCATACTTAACACAAAAGAATAATACTATGTGCATTAACTATTTTGTACTAATCCAAGTTTGAATAGTGTGCACTAATCTTGTGGAATAGATTTTTCATACCTAATACAAAATAATAATACTATGTGTACTAACCATTTTGTACAAAAGAGTAATACTATATATATAATTCTGTGCACTAACTATTTTGTACTAATCCAAGTTTGAATAGTGTGCACTAATCTTGTGAAATAGATTTTTCATACCTAATACAAAAGAATAATACTATGTACACTAACCATTTTGGTCAAAAGAGTAATACTATATATATATATATATATATATATATATAAAACACCTAAATTCTAATTATGAGGGACATATTTTACGGTGCATATATGATTAAGTCCTTTAATCGTATGGGTTAAATTTGTTTCAATTTTATCAACAATTAATACTATATAGTATCCAACATATATAATAAGCATGCATCTTGGGACATACTCATCATCTTGATATATACTTATTTAATTACTTTATGTTATGTTATAATATTATATTCTTTATTTTATCCTCAGAAAGATTAATGAATTTAAAGCTAGTTTTGACCTACACTAAACATTAATTTTTATTCATAAATTATTGGTAATTGAATTATGAGAGATGCGATCGCTTATCAAAAAAGTCTATATAGTAGCAAGTTTGGAGGACATCTTTGTCGAATGGCCCATCTTCTACATGAGCATTTATGTCTTTGCATTATTCGTTTTNATTTTTGAGAGGTAGGATAAGATGGCTTCTGAAATTTCACTCTCAGAGATCTAAATATTTAGAAGGTACAAGTTTTCACGTGCTTAAACCCCACCCAACTCAGACTAGAGTGGGAGGGATTTATTTTAAATTCGCAAGTAGGAAAAAAAATAATAAAAACAAGTTGAGCAGCCTTTGTTTAACGTAGTCAATAATATTTTTTATGAAAAAGCCAAAAGGATAAGAATTGTCAAAAGTTAGGATCGCTAAGACAACTTGTATCACATTATATAAGTTTTTTAAGATTATTTAACAAATTTTAGGAATCAATTATCCCAATTTTGAACAGAGATGTGCAAATACTATAGGAAAAAAGATATCGAATGATTTGTGATGTGGACGGCTGATGGGATGAACCTGATATATGAAATTGATTAGGGTTTGATTTGTGTAATTGACTGACGAGCTTGATAGGTGAGATTTTATTGACTAATTAGTGGCAGCAGCAAGCCTAATTAAATTATAAGATTGGATGAGTTACAATTAGCCAAAAGGAAAGGAAATTAGAAGGAAGAAACCTAAATGCAACTACTTTGTATGGTTGGCTGACTCGCCAATGGGCTTTTTAATTGGCTATTTCAAAATCTTATCAAAACATCTTCGGAATTAATCTTGTGGAATAGATTTTTCATACCGATCACAAAAAGAAAAAAAAAAAAAAAAAAAACACATACACACACATATATATACAATTCTCTAGTCAAGATAATGTTTGAATACTGTTGGATTCACTCATTAGAATAAAATAATATTTTATACATAAAGATCTAAAAGTAAATATGTATGATCCTCGTATAATTATATTACAACGGTAATAAATCTATATATATATAACTCATAAAAAATAGCTTACTTTAATTTTGAAGAATCTTTAAATTAGTTAGGCACTTTGTCTTCATTATACTTATTTTTGACGTGAATTTGTTAATTATCTAGTAATTGGGGATTATATATAGAGAGAGATGTATTATAAACATACATATTAAAGGAATTTTTTTTTTTTTTTTTCCTGAGAAAACATATAAAGGGAGAGAGATACGAATAAAACCTAAATTTATGGGCATGATACCATACCTTGATAGAGTAAATTTTTTTTATCAATAATACATAAATTTTCCACGAACATTTGTTTTTTAGGATACATAATAACTAATGATGCTTTTGAGACACATATTGCATCATATAGTAAACTATATAGAATAGAAACAACTATTAGGGTGCGTTTGGTTGAGAGAATGTTGTATTATTGGAAATGTTATATTAATAGAAAGATAGATTATAATGTAGATTAGTAGGAATATTTAGGAAAATGTATTTGATTAGGTTGAAATAAATTAATTGGTGGGTATGTTATATAGATTACTAGATTGCCCTCCTTTTTAGATATTAATATAATATTAATTTTTGGATCATCTTTTTAACCCCCTACAATTGAAATTTTGCTAAAACACCTCAGGCATATAAAAATTTAATTTGTAAAAAAATCACTCCCACCCACAATAAGCTATTGTTGACCGTTGGCCACCACTGTCATCTGCCATCGGTAGTCACCAAAAAGGCACACAACCGGTTGAGTCTGACCGACTGTGCGTCGATCTGGTCATGGATCTAGCCAAAAACGGTTAGATATATTCTGGTCGTTTTCGGCCAGATCAATGGTCGTTAACGGCCAGATTTGTGGTTGTTGTGCGCCATGGATCTGGCGGTTAATGGCCAAATCTATTCCGTTGTCATGCATAAGAATTCTGGGTGTTAATGGCCATGGATCTGGCCGTTTTACATCCATTTGGCCATTTTCGGTCATCGATATGCTCGAAAATGACTAGATCGGTGTTTGGTCAACTAGATCCATTGGTCGTGCACCGTTTCGACAACTATCGGTGGTGGTTAGCGAGTTGCAGTGATCTTGGGTGACCTGTAATTTGTTTTAAATATAAGGGCATTATTGTCAAAAAAACTTAATTAATTAAGGGTAAAATTGTAATGATAGGTTCATGTAAATTAATTTCAAAATAAGAGCATTTTTGTCCAAAAATTTTAATAGTTAAGGGTAAAATTATAATAAAATTAAGATTACTAAGTAATCTTAAAATACTTAAGAAAATAAAGATAATCAGATTACCACTTATATAACCAACAGTAATTACTATTGGTTTTAGAAAATTACTAGAATGTTATATTACTTGATAATCAAATATAGTACTTTAAGTAATATAAGATAATATTACCTCAGGGGTTTACTCTCAACCAAACACACCCTTAAAGGGTTATTTGTAACTTTTCATTCATATTGTGATCATTATATATAATTATATTTCCATTTCTTATAAGTTGAGACTGGATCGTTTTAATGATAAAGGTTGAATGTTGACACAAATGTTAAAATTAGCTAGAAAGAATATGTTGCTTAAATTGATGTCTCAACAGAGTGCAGCCCAGAAGAAATTCACAAATCTTCAATCTATAGCATGATATTAAGGAGGCCTCCAGTAGCTATTTTACTTTGTACCTCAAAACGTCGTCGTTTTGTATTAAGATTAGTCTAAGCCAAAGTGATGCCGTTGTAGTCTATGTTAGTTTGTTATAAAACATACCGTACACTGAACTAATTAATCATTGAATCTACTAAAATCCAAATACTCGTCTACTCTCTAATTTTTCTCTCAAATTCTTCGTTCAAACCCTAAGTTTCACACATGAAATACATTAATTAACTAGAAAAAAAAAAAGAAAAAAAAAGTCATAGTCTCATAAATATTTTAATGAATTAAAAAAGCCCATTTAAAAAAAAGTCATAGTCTCGTGGATAATTTCTAGATTGTATGAACTCGTGATTCTGCGATTATTTAAAAAAAAGAATTCCACTAGTAAACAGAACAGGTACAGAATTATTGCAAGAATATAAAAATGACAAATCCAAACACAAGAAAGCCATGGAAGAATATTCTGAAAAACCCTTATTAATTAACTGAACAAACTCTGAACATGAATAAAATTTAACATAGGTGTGCACGCATCTGAAGTTCAGTGATGATTAAACGCAGCAGTAGGCTTTTATGCAGTCGCTGTCCCTTTTATTTGGGACATTGCTTGATTGAAAGAACTGAAGTAATCCTTGATGATCAAATGGCTTGTATTTTAATGGATATTCATCATCAACTAGCTCTTTAGGAGCCTGTATTACTCCACTTAAGAATGCAAACAGCACAAGTGAATATCTCTCTTTTTTATTTTTTCCTTCTTTCAGGTAAAAGCTCATATCAGGAGAGGATTTTGGATTGACTCACCATGCCTACATCACCGGCGATGACCAAATTAGATGAAGGCGAGGGCTGAAAATGCATCCACTCTCCATCCTTTGTTCTTAACTCCAAACCCTTAACTTCATCTGAATAAAGAATCAACACCAAGGTCTTATCTGTATGACCACTTAAAGCAGCAGTATTCTTTTCTGTTTTATGACATTTTCTGTAATTCAAGAAACGAAGAAGATATGTAGTTGATCTCCTTTGAGACTCGTAATGCTTCTCATCAATGCCATAGCTTTCAAACAACATTCTCATCACCAATTGCTGCAATTCCGCTACAATGTTTGCGAATGTATGAGCGATTTCACTGACCAATATTTATAATTGAAACGAATAATTAATCAGAACGATCTAATCTTAATTAATAAGAAGAAACATTCAACAAATAATTTGATAATTAACAGAACCGATCATTTCCTTTTGGCCACAAGACGTTTGTGAAATTTTTACACGCCTCTTTATTTGTTGCAAACTCAATGCCTAAGCCTTCATGACGAGGAAGATTGGGCAACTTCAAGTAGCCATGACCAGGGTTCGGGTCCACATTTTTCATTTTTGTTTCTTCTGGAAGTCGAAACAATTCTTTGAGCGCGTCAAATACGTTTTCACGAAATTCTGAAGAGAGTTTGTGGTACGAAGCTACAAATCAGCCATATTCTTCAAGAGCAACCATGATTTCATTGCATGCTGATACCCAACAACTTGAACCTGGCTGCAAATTTTCCTTTGATAAATCTACAATGGGAACTTTTGGTGCTGTTACGGGATTGATATTGGTTTTATTATTATTATTATTATTATTATTATTACTATTATTATTATTATTATTTTAATTTTTAAATTTTAAATTTTGAAAGTCCAAGGGATGAGGGCTAATTACGTGGAAAACTCAGGTTAAATAGAGGGAATTGAGATTCTAAGTTGCCCTTTTAAAGTCCGAAACTTTTTTTTTTTTAATTTTTTTTATTGACTTATAATCCCGTCTTATCCGAATTCTCCTGACTTTTGTGAAGAATATCATAGAGATGCTCACACAGAAAAAAAAAAAAAAAAAAAAGTTACATCTGCAAATAATATGGAAATATGATTGGTGACATCTTAACTACCAATTCAACTAAAAGGTTTTGTGCTTTCATTATTTTTTATTTTTTGGATAAGTAAGTTATATCATTAAAAAAAGGAGAATATACAGAGAGGCCATAAAAGATTGACCATTCTAACTTAGAACAGGCCCTTAGATAAGAATAAAAATACAAACTTAATTGACTGAAAACCTAATTTCCTCTTATTTTGTCTTTCAAGGCAGTAAGCACGCTAAAGAAAAGAGATAAGAGGAGAAGAGTAAGCAAAGAAATACAAAGACAAAGACATCCTACCACAGGGCATGTCCTTGGATAGGTTAAAAAAAAAAAGACTAAGAACAATGCTTTCAATAATTGATTTGTCTTGTTTAGGAAAATTGGTATATTCTGAGAAGAGAAAACGGAATCAGATATTTGAAACGGGAGAAATGATAAACTAAAAATAATTGAAAAATATAGAAGAAAACAATAAACCCATTTCAATATTATTTGCTTCCATGTGCAAAGTAGAGGGGAAGTCTAATCGATATATATGTTTAGATGGTGTACCAAAAACAATTAAGCAGAGTTTAAATTATGGAATAAATTGTGTTAAGTGAGACAATATAGGTCATTTCATTAATATTTGATGTCTTACATATAAATCAATCAAATAGTTACGTTAGAAGATATTATTATTATCAATTATTTTTTAATTATTTCTTATCCAGTTTTTATCTCAATATTTTTTATGCTTCATTGACTTAATGACTAAAAACAAGACTGGTATTGGCAATTTAGCATAAACAATCTAGAAATCATTAGTTAGCATAACCAAATAAATAAACAAACCCTTTCTTGAATCATAGATTGGACATCACATGCCACCAATTAATTGTTAACTAATTCTTTTTTTTTTTTTGGCCTATAATATTTTAGTTTCTATTCTTGTACGAATCTGCTTATGAAGGAAATTTTCATATGTAATGAAGAACCATGCACTCTTTTTATTATGTTTTTCTGTAATGAATTATCGATCATATCCTTTTTTGTTAAGATAAGGCTAAATTAGACTGTAATCCTGGTTGTTGCATTAGAGCTAGCTATTTGATTAAGGTTAAAAATAACGTGGTTTTTCCAAGAATTTAGATTTAATTTCGAATTCAAATGCTTTCTGTGATATCTTTAATTTTAAGAAAAAAGTATAAATGATACATTTAAAGGATAGTTTAGGTGGAATCAGGAAAAAAGGAATTCCTTTTGCTTTTCAGAAATCCCATGCCCACCGATTACAAAAACTGGGGATGAGGTTATGGATGAGAATGAGTTGAAACATGTTGACCAAAGAAGAAAAAGGGTAAAAAGATCAAACTGTAGTTTTGTTTACTAACTCATGCGATGTCGTTTTTATTTATCATTGTCATCTCTCTCATTTCATATAAAAGGAGGCCAACTGCAGTTTGTAATGTACTGTAAATAAAAAACGATCTACTACGAATTTCAGCTCTTAGTTTTCTTTCAATTTTTTTTCCAAAACTCACATGGTATCAGAGCCTGTGACTAGCGTCCATGGCTAAGGTTTCTGGTTTTCAGTCTGATAGTAACATGGAAAAACAGCTCTCGGTTCAGCTCAGTCTTCACTGTTCAACTCTCTCAATTCAATCTTCAATCTTCTCATCTAGCTTACAAGTAGTGAATCCGAAGCTTACAAGGGATAATTACAAAGACAATTACGCTTCTGGAGGTTGCAAGTCTTATCAGCCGTAGGACGCATGAATTAGAGGAACATTTGACAGGTTTTGTTCCTGTCCTAAACCCTTGATTGCTTCAGAAATGATTGTTCTATTGAATCAATTGAAAATAACCTAACTAAAGGGAAGATTAATCCAGCTTATATGCTTGGAAAAAGACTGTAAGGTTCTTGTAACTTGGTTTTTGGCTTCTATTTCAGAATGTATGTTTAGTCATTTTCCAAATGTCAGTTTGCCTCTGAAATTTGTATAGTCTTGAAAATGAATTTCTTACCATCCAGCAAAGCACTTCACTTGAAGAATTTACTTCAAAACACTCAAAAAGGAAGTATGAGTGTAATGAATTCATTAAGAAAATGAAGGGATTGCAGAGAGTTTGTCCGCCAGTGGTCAGGTGAACTGATGAAGATCTCTTCAGTATGTATTGGATGGACTAGGGCCAGAGTTTGTGTTGCTGTGGTTAATTTGACATCTCGAATTGAATCTAAGTTTGATTCAGTAACATTACAGGAAGCTCAATTCCTGCTTCAAAAGTATGAGATGAACTTGAGAAGTTTAAACTGGATTTTTCTAATAGCTCAGTCATTTAGCTTCTCTCAATAATTCTGGTGGCAAATCTGTACACTCTGCTGCTGCAAGGCTCTACCAATGCAAGTGGTGATGTAACTGGAACTCCAAACGCACTCAACAATGTAATAACCTTGAGTCATAATCTGCCTCTTGCACCAATGTATCAGGCTTATGCACCGTCTATTCATGGTGATCCATATTTCCCTACTGGACATCAAAATCAGTTTGGTGGATCTTTTAGTGCTTCTTTTCCATCCTTTAGAGCACCTAGTTACAACCCTTTTGGAAGAGGAAGAGGCTGAGGTAATGGTCGAGCTAAACCAATCTGCCAAGTCTGTAGTAAAATTGGTCATACAGCAATCCAGTGCTACCATAGATACAATTCGAACTATAATGGAGCTCCTCCACAATTCAATGTTGGTTCTCCATAGTTCAATGCTGGTTCTCTGTCTCAGTATGGTGTGAATTATGTTGCTCAGTTTGGGGTTTCATCACCACAGTTTGGTTCTAGTATTCGGCCAAATTCTAGTTCTGCTAGTGGCCCTTCACAAGCATCTTATCCTAGCATTTCTCATTTAGGAACCAATTTGCAACAAGAAGGCACCAATGCTTCTTTCTCTACTCAGTAGCAAGGCTCACAACAACATAGTTTTCCAGTTCCCAGTCAACAAATGCAGTCACCCAGCCAAGCCTACTTTGTGTCCCATCAAACTCCCTTACACCATCCACACTCCATAGCACCTATGACTATTCCTCCATATCAATCACCAAATCAGAACTATTTTGCAACTCATCAAAATCCATCTCACCCTCCTAATACCATAATACCTATAACTGTCCCTACTGCCAACACACCTGATCCAGCCTGGTACATGGATTCAGGTGCTACTGACCATGTCACTTCTGATCCTAACCAACTAGCAACCAGCAGGAATTATGAGGGGGTCGATCAACTACAATTACGCAACGGTGAGTCTCTCAACATTTCACATATTGGCTTTACCTTGTTACCTAGTTCTCTGCAGTCTAAGTGTTTATATTTGAAAAATGTTTTGTGTGTGCCAAAAATAACTAAGAAACTTCTTAGTATTTCAAAATTTACACAAGATAATAATGTAGTTGTGGAATTTAGTTCTGATTGCTGCCTTGTTAAGGACAAGGATACCAGAACAATGCTATTGCAGTGAGGAATTAAAGCTGGCTTGTATCAGTTGCACATTCCCTCTAGTCTGCCATCACCTTCCCTGACTATTAACACTTCATCTAGTTTTCCTATGAAGACTATTCCCATCAGTTTGAACTCAAAAGCTTTTGTTTCTTCAATTGGTCATAATTCATTAGGTAGTAATAAAACATTTTAGAATGAGCTAAATACCTCTGCTGACAAGTGTACATCTAGCAATGTTGCTTTGAATTCCAATACATGTACTTTACATACTGATCATAATTGTAATACTTGTTTTGGTAATACAAATTCTTGCTCAGTNATCTCTAACATCTTATGGCATGTAAATACATATTTTGGTGAGCTTAATACTTTTAATTCATCTATGGATTATCAATCCATTTACATTACCTCTTGCTTACATACATTATCTTAAAAAAACTGTATTACATTGCATCTTCATGCCATTTCATAACATTAATCATGCATTGACATCATGACCATGTATATCTTTCAAAGATCATCTAACTAATGGGTAAACATTAGGACATGGCATAATTACAATAATACATTAATAATCAATTCATAATTATAAGAATTGATCATGTTCAATCTTAAACTTTAATAACCAGTTTATACTTCAGGCCGTTTTCCATCCATTTATCAAACCAATTGGCTCTTGGCATAAACATAAATTATAGTCTGTGTCTTAGCTTTCTAATGCTTCAAGAATCATCTCATTTCAATGTTTATAACTCAAGTTATGGTCGAAATACTAAAGCAGGGTTAACAGAACCCCTAAGCTCACTAAATCCGAATTTTCATATTAACTATGCCACATCAATTCCTATTGACATTAACCAATAGGTTAACTTATGGATCAAATAAACCTCCCCTTAATAGTCTTTAACATCTTAAAGGAAGTGTAAAATCTCATTCCCATAACCATCCATTATTGCTATAACATTGTAAGCTAATGCAAACAACACATCAACACTTCTAATAG